GTGGTGCTGCTGCAGGCTGAGGTCCAGCCCCTTGTGACACTGAGTCAGTGCTGGGGACACAGGGACACCAAACCCCTTCCCTTCCATGGAGCTGTCCCAGAGAGAAGCAGGGATGCTGTGGTGGCCTGGCAGGCCCAGAAATGGCACCAACTTCCCCAGCAGCGTCACCCAGGGGATGTTCAGCTCTGCCACCACAAAGTCCACATCCCTTCCTTTGAATCCACCAGTGCTGGGCCCAGAGGGGAGTGTTTTGCTGGTAGGATGGCAAAGCACAGCCCTGGGACAGCCAGGGAGGGAAGGGGCAGAGGGGCTTTTGTACACGCTGTCCTGTGAGGCGACCACTTGTCCCCATGGTCCCCTCTAAGATGAGTGTTGGGGACTTCTTGCTGAGCAGCTGAGGGGTCACTCTCAGCCCTCTCTCCTTGCAGGTGTGTTATGACCCAGCTGTGGAGGCTGGATAACCAAGGTTGTTGTTAATAATAGATTCCCTGAGGAGGATTAGTTGGAAATGACACTGAATGACTGTTGTTTATATATATATATGTGTGTGTATATGTCAGGTTTATTTTAAAACAATGGAAACGAGGTATGTAGCCATTTTGGTTATCTGTAGAAATATAACAGTATAAAATGTAAAGACATAATTTAGGAAAATATATAAGGAAAAGAAAGAAAGTGAAAAAGGATAAGAATAGATATTGGAGTGACTCTCTAAGGTTATTTTGCCTTTTTTTTTTTTTTTTTTTAACCAAAAAATGGTGAAAATCGATTCACAATCATTCAGCAGCTGCTGAGTTCTTCCCTGCATCACATCTTTGCCAGTGCTGATGGGCACCATCACGCAGGTGTTTAGAGGAACTGGGCTTCATCTCACTGACTAGGCGGCAAGCGGTGCTTCATCACTCCCTGGATGTCAACACTGTGGGAAAAGGAAAGATCTTCCTGTGCCGGTCTTTCTCAAAGAGGTGTACGTACCGAGAATGTTACAGGTGTGCAGGGAGCGAGAGCAGCAGAGGTGGAGGACGGAACTGCGTGGGAGCACAAAGGGAATACGAGGAGTTGCTGCAGTGTCTGAGAATCGACCTCAGCCTCCCTCGTGGCAGGTCCGGAGCCTCCACCACCCCTGAGATACCATTTCAGCAGCACAGCCCCCCTTACCTATCCAGCACCCGCCACCCCCACGTCCTGCCCCGCTGCCCCTCGGAGGGAAGGTGACCTGGAAGGTACAACACCTGCATTCCAGGATCACCTCGCTTGTGACCGCCTGGGGCCTGCTTTGCCAACAACCCGGCGGGCTGTTACTCGGGCACCAATTCTCAGCAGGCACCGCACACCCTGTCCGCGCTCGCAGGAGCCTCACACGGCAAACACCTACGGGACGAGATCAGCG